CTGTAGAAAACCAAACGTGTTTTTTAGTTTTTTAATTAGTGTATTGTCATCGGTCCTCGATATATCTACAAAGTTTGAACGAATTCTGACCGTTTAAAGTCAGTCAAAATCATGCCCAAAGGAGTCGGTTACAAACATACAAGTGAAGCTAATATAAAGCGTGTAAAAATAACACAAGCCATAAATACACCTACACAAAATTAATAACTTCTGACAAGATTCCAAACACTCAGGGTTTTTCCAATTACCAAAACAATTTCACAGGCCTATCTCTACAGGGCAGCCATTACCACTCTTTGTGTGAGTTAAACCAGACGTTTGAAAAGTTCAATATTTTTCCAATTATTTTTTTTTATATTAAAGACATGGTCGGGGGGGGACTTTACAAATATACATGAAACGGACACAAATAACACCCAGACTCAGAACAACAATCTGTGGATCACATAAAGTGTTGTCCCATGTGAGAACCAAACCCATAACACTCAGCGCTGTATGAATGCGACGTGACCAATTAAACCACCACACCGTGTTTGCAGTCAAAGTGGCATTGTTAGGATCATATCAAATATGGTTAGGTAGAGGGGGTAGCACAGCAGACAGTGGAGGCGAACGCTGACGCGTCACAAGAAGTACTCCTTAGATCTCGAGACTCCTAGATCGCAAGTCCCTCGCGCTGTCGCATATGTTGCCCCAACTATCACGCGATGGACCAGGCCCTCACGGTAATACCATGGGACGTTAAGAAATAGGTCTATTATTATTTGACAACAACTTCGTGGTGTCAAAGCTACTGTCAAACGTCAGTCAATTCAAAAGTATGTAACACCTCACATCATCCCATCAATAGCCTTTAATAGTCCACTGCTGGACATAAGCCTCTCCTTAGAAAGGAGGTTTTGGCTTACTATATTACCTGGCCAGGTTGGTAGAGGGTTTGTGTCAAGTTTTCCTTCTCTCTGCAGTACTGTTGTTCTGCGTACTTTTTTCCCTTAGTCGGCTCTTACGACAGCCACGGGATGAATAGGGGAGGTGACACTCTGTATTCTTAATCCGTCACCACATGAACCTCATTTTTTTCGGTCATTTCCTCATTCATAATGTTGTATCAAATGTTTAGTGTAACAATTAAAGAACAATAAGAAACTAAAAGATAACAAAGAAACCTACTACTTATGTCGTCACAATCCGTTATTTCATATCAGTGTTGTACAGAACGTACCGTTTTGACGTTTAATAAAGCTAATTTGACTTGACAGTCAAATAATATATTGTCTCATAATATTGAACCTTATAATACATACATTTAAAGCAGATTTTTCAATGTCTTTTTTATAATAGCTCTTATAATATTTAAGTGCAGGCATAATGTGGTCTAAACTAAGTGCCATTTTTTTTCAAGTTGCCTTTGAGTGGTTCTTCATCATCATCATCATCAGGCTATCGCAGTCCACTGCTGGACATAGGCCTCTCCCATTGCACACCACTTAGATCTATTTTGAGTGGTTCTTCATCGTAAAATTATGAAGAATGCTTCCCCTCCACCAGAATTAGGGAGGGGGATTATTTAAGATTGAATATTGATACCGGTTAAAATGTTCTTATAATACAACTTAATAACAATAGCATTGCAAACAATCCGTAATCATATTATTCTTAACTAAAAGTAATATAAATGTCCGGATATCCGGACATTTTATTATTATTATACTGACTGTGTATACTTAGGTAAATAATTTGGGTTTTGCATTGTAGCTGAATAGAAACCACGTATTGGTGATGACTTATCCAATATATTTTTAACTATTAAACTTCACCCTAACTATGATAGAACTCCAAAGGCTCCAACACCACACGGTTACATAACTCAATCCTATGCTATATCTTATAATCACACATGCCAAATATAACACACCTAGTATATCCACCACTGATGATAGACCAATCCGGATAGCCGGACATCCGGATATAAATATAAGCGAACACAACCGGTTTTTATGAAATCTAAAAGGAATTTTTAACATTTTATTATTAGCTAGTACTAAATGAATTTTAATAACTATTTGCTCAAGTATAAGGGTTGATACACGTTAACTATACAGACTACCCTCATGGTTAAAGACAAGAAAAATAATATTTCAGTTGACAAAAATAATTATTTAAAACAAGACGTGTGTTACCGTTGATGAAAATACTACTATTAAGAGATTTATATACCATTTAAGTAGCAAATAAGCAAACCGGCTGATGGTATGCGGTTACCATAGCTATATATATAAATACACGGTGTAAGGGACGTCGTAACGAATACTGAAATAGTGTATTCAGACCATCATTCTGAGTCAAAGGTTAAGGTCATTCCCCGTAGGTATCGCACAAAAGTAATAACTACATGTGTATTCCGTGCAAACAGTCTACGCACACTAACACAAAATGGCGGCCGAAGGGGAGGTCTCGCGCGCTTCGGCTGTTTGATTAATCACATTGGAGTTTTTTGGTATTTATTAAATTGTTTTCGGTAAAATGTTCTGTCTACTCATTGTGATATCATTTTTAATCAGAAAATGGAAAATTAAAAATGAAAAAAAATCAATGATTTTCGATGACGATGTCCCTTACACCTTGTATATCTGTATATATAGAATTATACCTATTCTTCAAACTGTTGTAACTTCTACATTTAAATTTAAATGCAATATAAAAATGACAGTGGAGTTTACTCACGCCCTATCCCTTAAGAGGTAGACAGAGGCATATTATTTAGTATACACGTATTCTTTTAGTAATTTTACAGAATACAACAGTTTATTATATGAATTGTTTTATTTATATAAGGCCTTTATAATCAAAAGCGGTTGTGGCTTAAACTGTCGGGCTTGCGATCAACTAGTTGCAGGTTTGATATCCACCCAGTATATATTAGTAGTGAACCCACTCTTGACACAAGCATTTAGTTTTAAGCTCACTATAACCCGGCAATCTCGTGCGCGACCGTCCCGCGGGGTGACAGACAGTGGCGGGGGTGAGGTAGCGCGTCATTCTAGCACACGGCTACACACGAAGAGAAGTGTTTCCCTTCCCCGCTACACCACCCGCTACCCGCTGACATCTTGAGTACCTCGTCCCCGCCACCGTCTGTCACCCCGCAGGACGGTCGCGCACGACGTTAATGGACTATAGTAAGGAAGAAGTTTAAATCTAGCTCAGATAACCTGTATTGGTATTTAAATCCTCCAAATGCTTATTCGGTCAACTGTTAACTAGCGCCATCTATTTTCGTATTACAAAAAGTAATGCAAACGCCATCTATATGTTGGCGCGCACACTAATTATTCTATTATGACTTGAGAGGTTATATCCTCCAAAACATGTTTTTATATTTCATTGCTACATGTTATACAAGGATATCGGCAGTTCCACACAGGTTTAAGATCACTGGTCAACTCCTAACGCTCGTAGCGTGAATGTTATGTAACCTTCCTGAACAATAAGGCCATTAAACACAAAAATAATCCTACAAACCTGATTGATGGTTTAATTCTTCACTTTTATTATAGTATTAAATATGGTAGTACATATTTATATGCCAGTACATAGCAGTATACAGTAGTGGGTAGTATCCTGTACCTCGGAACATGTGTTGTGGTACATTTAATACCCAATTATGTTAAGCATATCCAATAGCCATCGCACCGTGGCGGTAGATAGTAAAGTGTGTGATGTAGAATGCCTTTTAATGTGGTACAGTACACTTTGCAAAGTGGTACACCATATTTCAAAGTAGTGGTACACTTTTTTTAGTAACACTGGTAATGTTTTTTACACTTACAACTACAATGATACAGAGCACATGCAAATTGGTAGTAGAGTTTGAAAAGTAATACAGTTCCCTTTAAATAGTACTAAACTGGCCCCCGAAAAGTTATATGATATTCAACTAAATACAGTAATCCCTCCTATAACACGCATTTTCATATTACGCGATTTTAATCCCTCGTATAGCACGGGTATTCCCCCATATAACGCGGGGATTTCCCACGTTATATTTCTGTACTGTGACATTTATAATGATTTGTAGAGTTCATAATTCGATTTAAAATCCCTTTAACGTGAAAAGTAAAAAGTGCATAATAATATTTTGACACATCTCACATACAGCCCATCTGATGTCAAAATAGATGCCTGTGCTATGGTAACCAGACTGCTGATAAACATACTTATATATTTTTAAATACATACATATTATGGATAAATTACACCCAGACACAGAACAAATGACCGTGCTCATTACACAGGTTTTATTCCTGGGTGGGATTCGAACCCACGACCTCCGGTGTGGCAGTCAGGGTCACTAACCACTAGACCAACAGGCCAGGAATCAGCGAGAATACTCCTACAAAGCGTTTTCCTATAACGCGGAACAAATCTACCGTATCATAGGAGGGATTACTGTACTAGTTACTCTGACAAAATACAATCGGCAAAATATTTTAGTCTTGTAAAAGATTGCACAACAAATTTAAGCTTGGAGTAGCGCCTCTATCGGCCACAAAGTTCCCAATTCATAGTACGGGGGAACATACATTATATTGTCTTCTATGTCTTTAAATACGGCGTTTCAAAATGCATATCAACTTTTTAAAAGATTTATTAAACGGAAACAAATAAAAAAAAAACCTAGAACCGTCAAACGAGTCGCTTGGTACTTGTCTACTGCACAAACACTGACAAAAAGCGTGCAGTTTAAATGCAATCGTTATATTTAGACTTGATTCACAAAACATGAATAACGAAAAATATTCTTTTTTAACGAATTTGATATCTTAAATCTAAAAATTATATTAAACTTTTGTCGTACAGTATTCGGTCAATATGTAACCAGCGCCATCTATTTTCATATTCCAAAAAAAAGTAGGTAATAGAGTGGTCTACGTGAAGTGGGGTAAGTGCAACGCCATCTATGTATTGGCCCCGCACACTAAATGTTTAAGCAAGGCCATCTACCGGTGGAACTTGTGTAGTTTGTCGCAACTTGGTGTCCGCAGTCTTTGAGCGTCTCCATATTGTCGTTCGTCTCCAAAGTTTCGCGCCTTCCATACCATACTGTCACGGTAATTCCTCTCGCGTTGACAAGAATGCCGGAGGCCCACTGGGGAAGGGAATTCGTCTTCAAAAATTGCCACAGTAATCGAAAAAATATGTTTGCCTCGGCAATTCACGGTCCTATCTATAACGCTTCCATAAAAACTGTTTGGTTTAACCGTGAAAACATGACATTCAGAAAGATTTTAACTATCTGTCGTTAAGTCTGGTTTTCATAGACAAAGTTTTTCATATTGTACAAATTGTTTATAACATACGTACCTATATATTCTTCCTCTATAGCCATCTCTAGTCGCCGTAACGAACCCTGGTAGTCAGTGTGAAAATTGTCTTTCACATAATATGGTACCTGTAAATTATTTCAAGAAAAGCTTAAATCTTTAACAAGGTTAAAATTCTCATAAAACGCAATTTTGAAGAAAATAAACCAAACACTAGTGACCCAATGAATATTAGTAAGTTATAAGTATACTAAGCAGTATGAAAACTTTCATAGTGCGATACAGGATCATAAGATACAGATAGTTACTACGTAGTTCGGTTAATTTTCACTAGATGGCGCTGAAACTGTATACGGCCTTACCTTAAGGTTAGCCGTCTCTCTAGGTACAGGATATTTAGAGTTGGGTGCCAGGCTGTAGACGGGCTCGCTGATGAAGTACCCGGACATCATGGAGAGTAGCACAAGGACGAGGACCGGGAGTAGCTGCACCAGACCCGCGTGGGGCTCGCGTTGTTCGGGCTCACGGGCTCGACGACGGGTGTATACTGTTGGGCCACCGCCAGGGAAGGCTGTTGGGAGGATAGGGTGTTAGTTGTTTACTATAAGAGATATACTAATATTATAAAGCTGAAGAGTTTGTTTGTTTGTTTGAACGCGCTAATCTCAGGAACTACTGGTCCGATTTGAAAAATTCTTTCAGTGTTAGATAGCCCATTTATCGAGGAAGGCTATAGGCTATATATCATCACGCTAAGACCAATAGGAGCGGAGCACCAATGAAGACTGTTTCAAAAACGGAGAAAATTTATTACTATTGAGAGACGCAGACGAAGTTGCGCGGGTCAGCTAGTAAGAGATAAAACGAATAGTCCAAGGAACAGGTGGAATGCTTCTTTACTCAATACCACACACCTCTATATAATCTTCCTCCGAGCCTTTTTTTCCATACTAGGTTGGAGTCGGCTTTAAGTATACCACGATAACGATACTGTAGACTTCCACAACCCAAGTACTAGGCGATATCCAAGTTCTGTATGAAGACTGCTGTTGGGACTTTTTAGGGTCCCAACTACGAGTAACGATTGGCAACCGAGAATGGCCACTCTCAATGGGTCTCTATGTGTTAAGAATGGTTACCCATCCATAGACTGACCTGGCTAGCATTGCTTAACTTTGAAATGTGTTAATTTACTCAGTTACCACGTAGCCACGAGCCCCTACACCCCGTTCTGTACTTTTAATATTATATATACACACCCGTATATATACAAAAAACAAATAGTTTTTTAGTGTTAAAAGGAAAAATATAGATTGCTTTGTGTAATATAAAGAAATAGCAGTCAAAAGAAGAGTCTCTGCCTACTAGTCAATTGGTGGGAGTGCACTTGTAACGACGGGATGGCGTAGTGGTTTGTGTAACTGCTATCCAAAGGTCGCGGGTTCGATTCCCGCTGAAGTCAACCATTTGTGGGCATGAACATTTAATGTTTGGTGGGTGTTTCTATAAATAATAATAATAATATTCTACCACATTCACACAACGCCATCTAGTCCCAAACTAAGCAGAGCATGTACTATGGGTACTAGACAACTGATATAAATACATATATACTTTTTTTTTGTAAATACATACATATTATACATAGAAACACCCAGACCAAATCAAACATTTAATGTTCATGCACACAAATGTTTGACATGAGCGGGAATCGAACCCGCGACCTTTGGAATAGCAGTCCGTTACACAAACCATTACGCCATTCGGTCGTTTAATAAAATAAGTATGTAACTCAGGAGTTTTTCACAACACGAAAAACTCCTGAGTTACAGAGGGTAGTGAGATACCATCAGGGCCTCAATTCTGCTATTTTATGTTCAAAAAAACGCAAAAAAAGTAATAAATTTTCAAATTTAAGAAAATGATTTATTTATTTTTCCAAATATGGCAATCTTTTTGACATCACCACTGATGAGCCACTGCCATTCCATGGCCACTGTAAAGACACTGAGTTAGTGTAGACTACCGATATTTATACCGATGCCAATGGCCATTCGATGGCATCTCAATAGCGTGTCAGTGGTATGACAGTGGCTTGACGTGAACATAAAATAGCAGAATTGAGGCCCTGGTCGATGCAACCAGCGCCAATATTTACAGGAATTTTAGGCAAGCATGACATACTTAAAACTTAATATCTAAGTACGACTAAAAAAAATCGGTTGTCTGTAAAGTCTGTTTACTGACGATAGTTGAACGTGACAACGTCATAAGAAAATACTGATGGAATGGTTGCATTTTTCAAAAATGTATTATTGTATACGAGTACCAGCTGTCCACGCGGACGCATCGCTCACTCAAGTAGGAGAGAGACAGATGTCGAACGCTGCCGAACGCGGAGGCCGATTGTGCCTCTTTGTCACTCGTTCCGCGCTCTCGCTTGCACTTCACGCCTTAAATGGAACGCCTCAGAGCGAGGTAACGCCGCATGAGTCATGTTTTTTCGTGCGTGCAGCCGGCTCCATCGAATTATAAGACGTTGTCACGTCAAAAGCATTTTATAGGTACCTAAATTATATATCACTTATAACTAGTCTCAAGATTGGTTTAGTTTCTGAAGTTACCAAGCCCTCGTTTAAAGAATTCGGAGATAATAGCAGAATTGAGGCCCACAATACAATTAAAGAAGAAATATTATTAAAATACCTGTTGCTCCGAAGAACATGTTGAACAGTTCCTCAGCGGTGAGATCAGACTCGAACCCTCTTGCATAGTACTGGTGATGAGTGTGCTGAGAGGGAACAGGCTCATCACCTCTGACGTCGTATTGTTTGCGTTTCTCGGCGTCCGTTAGTATTGCTGCAGCGTTGCCGATAGCCTGTGTGATATAAAAAATTAATAATAACCTCATACAGTTAATTTATTGGAATATAATATATCTAGTACAAAAAATTAATGAAATTAAGAGTTAAAAATTAATTCATCAATCATCAACAGCCTTTAACAGTCCACTGCTGGACATGGGCCTCTCTTTAGAAAGGAGGTTTTAGCTTACTATACCACGCTGGCCAGACGGGTTGGTATAGGGTTTGTTCCAAATTTTCCTTCTTTTTTTTTAAAGAGACAATGCCCGCATTTTAACAAACAACCGGACTTTACAAACACACATGAATCGGACACAAAACACCCATACTCAGAACATCAATTTGTGGATCACACAAAGTGTCGTCCCATGTGGGGGGCGAACCCACAGCACTCAGAGTAGTAGTAAGTGGCGTGGCGACCGCTTAAACCACTACGCCATCCGTGCAGTTTTTGCAGTGCTGTTGTCCTGCGCAGTTTGCTCCCTTAGTCGGCTCTTACGACACCCACGGGATGAATTGGGGTAGTGACATTCCGTATTCTTAATCCGTTACCCACACGGACACTTTAGTGAAAATTAATTAAGTTATAATATTTACAAAATTTACAATATTTAGATACAAGCATCAAAAAATTCATCCGCATCATCGCCTACTGGTAGCGCTCCCAGAAGACTGGCAGCATTGCCATCTCACACACTTTGACTGCACTGATGGCGTACTGGTTTAAGTAGGCGCCAAGCCGAGTGTTGTGGGTTCAAACCCCACATGGGACGACACTTTGTGTGATCCACAAATTGTTGTTCTGAGTCTGGGTGTTCTTTGTGTCCGTTTCATGTATGTTTGTAAAGTCCCCCGCGACACAGGATATATTCCTAATGCGGGAGTTGTCTTATTTAAGAAAATAAGAACACGGCCGTCTTAAACTAGGCAGAGCCTGTACTATGGTAACCAGACTGCTGATATATTTCAATACAAACATTAAAAATGCAAAACTGTGTCTCTCTGTCTGTTACCTCTTCACGCTTAAACCGCTTAACCAATTTAGATAAAATTCTACATAGAGATAGTTTGAGTCCCGGGAAAGGACATAGGATAGTTTTCATCCAAGCAATCATCCTTTAAGGGGGTGAAAAAAGGGGTAGAAGTTTGTATAGAAAATCAATAAACACTAAAACGACTTAGATGAAATTTGGTATTGAGATAGTTTGATTCTTGAGGAAGAACATAAATGATAAATGATATTTATTTCTGTAAGTAAATCTTTTCAGATATTTTTACAAGTCGGACTTTATAGCTAGAAGGAGCCGGCATTTCCTAAGACTCACTCTGGGAAGAAACGCCGAAACAAACCACAGAGGTGTCTTTTTTTTTAAGTCCGTAAACAAAGTTAAATAAAACTGTGCGAGTACAGTATAAATACTATATACATAGGATATTATTTACCATGATATCCGACATAAACGCGAGCGGAACCGCTGGCAGAAGTTAGTACTTATATATTACTTAATACATTTGTATTATAGATAAATTACACTCAGACCAAGAAGAATCTATGTCATGTAACAATTGCTGCACGGATGGCGTAGTGGTTTAAGCGGTCGCCACGCCGATACTACTACGCTTAGGGCTGTGGGTCCGATCCCCACATGGGACTACACTTTGTGTGATCCACAAATTGTTGTTCTGAGTCTGGGTGTTCTTTGTGTCCGTTTCATGTATGTTTGTAAAGTCCCCCGCGACACAGGATTTATTCCTAATGCGGGAGTTGTCTTTTATAAAAAAAAAAAAAAAAAATTGGTATCGTAAGACACGACTGATCGTAAACTTTTCCTGGGTAGGAATTGAACCCATGACTCACAACAGCTCACCAGGATCACTAACCAGACTTTAATGTAATCTGATCAAAATACAAAGAATTTCTGATTGAGTTTTTCATCCGTGTGGTGACGGATTAAGAATACAGAGTATCACTACCTTTATTCACCCCGTGGGTGTCGTAAAAGCCGACTAAAAGAGCAAACTACGCAGGACAACAGCACTGGAAAGAGAAGGAAAACTTAACACAAACCCTATACCACAAGTCTGGCCAGGCGGTAGCCTAGGGGTTAAGGCCTTGGACTTGCTATCGAGAGGTCGTGGGTTAGAATCCTGACCAGTACACTAGCGACGTGCACCCACTCCTAACACAAGCAATTTAGCTTAGCGGGAGGTTTTAACGGGAATGCTAGTAATTTCGGTTGCTAGTAGACCTTTTTAAAAAGAAAAAAGAAGAACCTCCTTTCTAAGGAGAGGCCTATGTCCAGCAGTGGACTATGAAAAGGCTATTGAAAGAAAAAAAATAAACATTCGTGATTATGTTCGAGTGTAGAGTAGATTATATATATATACTAGCTGAGACCCGCGGTGTTACCCGCGTTTGTTGTTATAACCGCGGGCAATGCCGCGGGGCGAAGCTAGTCTAAAAAAGTAGCCTAAGTTACTCCTTATGTCATCAGCTATCTGCCAGTGAAAGTCCCGTCGTAATCGTTCCAGCCGTTATAGAGATTACCCGGAACAAACAGACAGACAGACAGCCAAAAATTGTAAGAAATGTTATTTTGGCATATGTACCGTGTAAACATACGTATGCATTTAATAAAAAGCGGTTATTTTAATATTACAAACAGACACTCCAATTTTATTTATTTGTATAGAATATAGATAAATTTTACCCAGACACAGAACAAATGACCGTACTCATCACACAATATTTGTCCTGGGTGGGGATCGAACCCACGACCTCCGTTTTAGCAGTCAGGGTCACTAACCACTAGACCAACAGGCCCGTCAACATAACAGTCTAATGTATGGTTAATATTACAAACAGACACTCCAATTTTATTTATTTGTATAGATATATAGTGACTAGCTGACCCGCGCAACTTCGTCTGCGTCTCTCAATAGTAATAAATTTTCTCCGTTTTTGAAACATTCTTCATTGGTGCTCCGCTCCTATTGGTCTTAGCGTGATGATATATAGCCTATAGCCTTCCTCGATAAATGGGCTATCTAACACTGAAAGAATATTTCAAATCGGACCAGTAGTTCCTGAGATTAGCGCGTTCAAACAAACAAACAAACTCTTCAGCTTTATAATATTAGTATAGATTCGTCAATACAATTTTCAAGCACTTGCCGTTCGCGTTCAAAAACGTACTTTATTCACTTGCATTTAGAGTTTATATTTATTCAAACGTTTTATAGTAAGTTTCGTCCAAGTTGATTAGATATTAATGAGTGCTGAGCCCATGGTAACAAACACCCCTAAATTATAGAAATAAAACAATAGCTTTGCGATCGATGGCTTCCTCAATCGGTAGCTTAGATACTTTGAAAGCCATTTTGTCGCGGTCCAAACCATCTTTTTGACACCGTCGTTCTAGAATACACTTTGATCGTAGTGAGTTTTATTAAAATAATTGTGTAATTGTGAAGAAGTTTTCTAATGGTTACCAATCTATACTAATATTATAAAGCTGAAGAGTTTGTTTGTTTGTTTGTTTGTTTGAACGCGCTAATCTCAGGAACTACTGGTCCGATTTGAAAAATTCTTTCAGTGTTAGATAGCCCATTTATCGAGGAAGGCTATAGGCTATATATCATCACGCTAAGACCAATAGGAGCGGAGCACCAATGAAGAATGTTTCAAAAACGGAGAAAATTTATTACTATTGAGAGACGCAGACGAAGTTGCGCGGGTCAGCTAGTACATTATAATATACCAACAGGGTTCTATCTTCGATTTAAAATTATGAGTAAACAGAACATTGTACCTTTTGTTTTTAATCGAACAAACCAAGTGCGCGGGGAGCCGCCACCCCCGGTCGGCAACTTGTGTTAGTGTGCGTAGACTGTTTGCGCGGAATACAAATGTAGTTATTACTTTTGTGCGATACCTAAACCTTTGACAGCCTTTGTAACCAGACTGTTAATAACCATACTTCATCATCATCATCATCATCATCAGCCTATCGCAGTCTACTGCTGGACATAGGCCTCTCCCATTGCACGCCACTTAGATCGATTTTGGGCTTCTCTTATATATTTCTAAATACTTACATATCACAGAAAAGTTACACAGAGTAGACACAGAAAACAAATTATCGTGCTCAGTGCACGATTATTTGTCCTGGGTGGGAATCGAACCCACGACGCTTTCCCTTTCCTTTCCCTAAAAAATAGATTAGATTAATGATGCAAATTGTGGTCTAAAGTTACACCAACTTTGGGGTAACATTAGCCCATCATACCATACCTCCTTGAACATTCGTTTAGTAAGATTTTTAAAGGCGTATGGCATAAAAATTATAACCTTGAAAGCCTCTGCAGCTCCGGGTGCATGATTCTTGTCAGGGTGAAGCTGCAATGCCAATTTTTTGTATGCCTTCTTTATTTCTGTATCGGGAGCATCCTTGGACACGCCTGGAAACAAACATTTATTCAGTAACATGAAATCAGAGCTTAATAACTTAACCAACAGATCCATGCCTCGGCACACGGGGACCCAATCGACCAATTCTTTAAACCGCAGCCATTTATTTCCATGCGGCAGTATCTGCCACCGGACAACCGGTGGGGTAGTAATACCCGAGTCGAACCGACTAAAAATCGCATTGCGCCTCCAGTAGCCGGGGAACGAGGTGTACCCTAGGTAGGAACACCCTGGTATCAACCAAACTCTTTAATTCTGCCAGGAGTTCTTAAAGATCGGCAACTCACTTGTGAAACATTTCACGTGACTTATCACGAAGTTGTTGGCTCATATAGCATTGTGGCGACTATAGTTAAACCGCCGTAAGCTTGGCCCTCCTGATGGTTTGGAGGACGCGGGGCGGGGGTGGATTCAACCAATAAGCCAGTGCGTCGCTGTCCGCCGGCAGTGACTGACGTGAAAGCATGGCTGTACGTGTTATTTTTCTTAAGACTGCTACACACGGTATTATTTTGCAACATGGATAATCTGCCGACTCTGCGTCACATAAAGATTTAAAAACTTGAAGGTTCGGCTTACAGAGGTTCTACTGTTAAAGTTCTAATAAATAATATTTATTATTTTACTTAATTTTTAAATTGTATCTGAATATAATTTACATGATGAAGGTAAGGTGATTTTATTAAAATTATTTTACAGTATTAAATTTTACAATTAATCATAAAAACTTACAATAAGATTCTGATTCACTGACATTATAATACATGGAAATAAATTCGATTTTTATTACATCGTGCGTAGATTAAATCTCAAACAAATAAATCTGAAGATATCGAGTACATCGTGTCATGTATAGCCGAGCGCATCACCCGCCCCGCGTCCCGCAAACCATCAGGAGGGCGAAGCCTACGGCGGTTTAACTATACCACATACAACGAAACTTAAACATACTTCAACGCCATCTAACGAAGACACACCGAACTACGTAGTAACTGCCAATCTTGTATCGCGATATGAAAAATTGTCATGTCGATTAGTATATATATACAACTTCCCAACATCAACTTAAGGCCAACGGTCCGCCAGATATGATCACCTCGCCTGGTCGGAGGATCCTTTCTGTGGGAGGGACATGACACCCGTTCCTATATACCATTAAAAAAAAAGGTATTGTAACTGTCCGTGTGGTGACGGATTAAGAATACAGAGTGTCACCACCCCTATTCATTCCGTGGGTGTCGTAAGAGGCGACTAAGTTAGCAAACTACGCAGGACTACAGCACTGCAGAGAGAAGGAATACTTGAAACAAACCCTAGTAGGCCAAAAAATCCTTTCTAAGGAGAGGCCTATGTTCAGTAGTGGACTAGTAAAGGCTGTTGATGTGATGATGAGGTGAGGACGGCCTCGTGTGCTAACATGTCGTCGATCCAATAATTAAATGAAGGAAAGAAATTATACTGACTTTATTATTTGAAGTTGCGAAAATATTCCAATTATGATTCACATTTGTAATTTATGGAGACAGAGTTAAACTCAGAGTGTGCGAAAACCTATCGCGGAGTGGGGAAAGCCTATCTTGCAGTACGGACCGGAGCGAAGAGAGACCCCGCCGCATCTGCTCCTCCTTATCCCTGTGCGGGGTGAGGCGGTGAGTCTTGGTGAAGAGTGGACGGTGGCGTGTGACAGTATCTTAGAGACAAATTTTGACTATCGATACAGCACTATTTATACTTCTTATTATAAATGTGCATCTAATTTTTGTTTTTCTTTGTTACCTCTTATGCCTAAACTGCTGAATCACTTTAAATAAATTTTCGTATAGAGATAAACAGGACGTTCGAGGTCATAGAATAGTATTTCTAGCACAAATATACTGTGACGTGACAAATCATAATTTTGTTCAAATTATTTGATATATATTTTTTATTAATATTTAAAATCGTCTTATCATCAACAGCCTATAACAGTCCACTGCTGGACATAAGCCGCTCCTTAGAAAGGAGGTTTTGGCCTACTATATCACGCTGGCCAGATGGGTTGGTATAGGGTTTGTGTCAAGTTTTACTTCTCTCTGCAGTGCTGTTGTTCTGCATAGTTTTTTCCCTTAGTTGGCTCTAACGACACCCACGGCATGAATAGGGGTGGCGACACTCTGTATTCTTAATTTGTCACCATACAGAAATTGTCTTAGACTAAGTCATAGATCAACATACAATAAGTAACATTCTGTTAAGTATGTCAAATATTTAACAAAAATAATACAATCCATTATAATAGGTCTTTACCTATGAAATTGCCGTTTTGTATGCAATAAGTGAAAGTACTTATTTTTTCAAACTTTTTTATTTCTGTTATTCGAAGTAATCACCCATGCAATCGACGCATATTTGCCAACGCAACGCCAGCGTGGTATAGTAGGCCAAAACCTCTTTTCTAAAGAGAGGCCTATGGCCAGAAGTGGACTATTAAAGGCTGTTGATGATGATGATGATTGATGAAATACATACATATCATAGATAAATTACACCTAGACACAGAATAAATCATGGTGCTCATCACACAATTATTTATCATGAGTGGGAATCGAACCCATGACCTCCGAGCAGTCAGGGTAACTAACCACTAGACCAACAACCAACTTTAATGTAATGAGGCTTGCCTAGATCCATATTTTGTCTATCAGTATATAATAAAACTCTGCTGTGACTGTTCTGAACTTTGCTGGGCCAAACCCTCAGAGCTTTCTGATTTTGATTCTGATTTCTGATTTTTGATTTGATTCTGCTTTCTTTCTTTCTTTTCTGAAATTAGCAGTCTGGTTACCATAGTACAGGCTCTGCCTAGTTTGGGATCAGACGGCCATGTGTGAGATGCACTCCATGCACGGAGATCTCAACAACAACGTGCCGGTCAAAGCGGTCGAGGGGTTCTTACAGTCTATTACCGACAGGTGGTATGATATCATCCTTTCGCATCCCTCTCTGGGAATCGAGCTCCAACTGCATCGCTTCATCTGCGGTGGATACCCGTTAACTATGCAAATGGACAGACAGGGCTCAGTGTCCCAATCGGGTCCATTATGGGAGATATTTTGAGTTTATATTTTATATCAAGATGTTGAGTTGGTTTGTGTACACTTCAAAAATCTTAAAAGTTCTGCACCGAGTTTTGCTACGATTTACAAGATGCTTTAAAAATGATTTTACTCTATTTATAGCAACCACATTGTGTCACAGCTAAGCAAGGCAGTGTTCTTCTAGTATTGTATAAAATATTAAATTTTGTATGAAATTCAATAGTTTCATACTAAAATGAATAATTTCAGGGGAAGATCAAAACAATTAATAATAGTTTCATAAAACAATTTTTTTTTTAGTTTCAACTAAATTAAACAGGTATGTTTGAAACCCGTTTAAATCCATCCTGAGTTCTTATTTTAAATCTTTAAATCTTCTGCACTCATTTATATGATTGACATTTTATGCTAAATTTAAAAAACTAATTAATGTAAAAGGTTGAATAAAGTGCAGTCATGGTCAAAACTGCACAATAGAAAAAAAAACATACTGTCTAGTCACGTAGTTTCCTGTTGACATTGAAAAGAAAAAATAGAATACTAAATTAGTTTATACAATTTCACCAAACTTACCAAGTATTTCATAAAAATCTTTGCATTTGTTCACGCGTCGCACAGCCTCTTGTTGCTCCTGTGTATACTCTCTTTGAGCTGGCTGATGGGCAGGAGTTTTCCTCCTTCGAACTTCTTCGGCTTGTGGGCTATTCGGAGGAGTTCGCTTAACGCCCGGAGACGAAGGCCCTGCTGCCCTCACACGCCCCAAAAGATCCTTGGCAAGTGTAGTAGGATACAAACGTTCCGCTTTCAACAGAAACTTCTCAGCCTTCTCCATATTTCCCGCAGCAAAGGCACTTTGAGCTATTGCTATGCATTTTTCAGCCTCGTCCTTGTTGCCTTCTATAGTCATTTTGAGGGGTTTCTAGTGGACTATTATGAAGATAATCTGTTTTATAACGTTACTGACACGTCGCAGAAAGATTTAGAAGTGTTTGTGCGCAAATTTAATTAGCGCAAATGGAAATTAATTCCGTTTAATCCACTACATTTGTGTTCAAGAACTGCAATATTGCGTCAATCAAAATAAGACTGTGTCTGTATTACCAACATAATAAATATTATTCTATTTCTATGCTACTGAGTAAAGATTATAATTTTTATTTTACAGAAATGATGTACCAGTTACAATATTTAAAAAAATAATCAGTTAAATTATTGTTATATATTTGTATATGTTTCAAATCACAACATGAAACGTACTACAGCCTAAATCATGACACTGTTGGAATAGTTTTAAGTGTCCTAATCTTTAACATTACTTAAAAGAAGCTAGGCTCGTAGCCTTATTTTGTTGACGGGGTGGAAAATCCCTTCGGATATCCTGCTCCTCGGGGACTCAGGAGCCTGGAGTATGTGGTGATTCCACTAAAAACCGGAATATGTTATTTCAGGTCCTCCCCGAATTGACAGCATGCCTAATAATCCCCTCAATCGCGACGTGGCGGCCCAATTGCGTCTTAATGAAATCGGGCCACCATGCTGTCCCCTACCGCAGCATTCAATCTGCCACCAGAGGTATCGCTCGGGATCGGCTCTCTCCCGATCCCGTTTTATACTCGTAACCTAGACTTAGTGATAACCGAGTGGGTTATTACATTTAAAAGTTAAGCAATCCTAGCCAGGTTCGTTTATGAATAGGTGACCATTCTTAATACATTGAAACCCCTCCGTGCCTCGGAGAGCACGTTAACTGTCGGTCCCGGTTGCAATACGAACATCTGTGGCAATCGCTACGGGTAGTTGGCGCCCTTAAAAGTTCGACAATAGTCTTTGTACAAACTTCGATATTATCTAATACTCGGGTTGTGGAGGTCTCATGCCTGTCGTTCCACTTAAAAATCAAAGTTCAGCTTTATTGTAGTAGACTTTAAAGCCAAAAATTTAAAATATTTATATAAAAAATTAAAAGGCTCATATCTACATTTTTTTAAATCGGTGATGATTTCATGATTTGAACACGTTTGACATTTAGATTTCGCGTTACAGAACCAAATAGAGATAGTCAATTTAAAGCTTCTATCTTTTAGTGTCTCCTTTACTCCAAAAGACTACTATCGAAAAACAGTATACTTATCTCGCTCACACAATACCGGACAACTAATTGTGACCTCACACAACAGCAACCGGGATTAATCACTTAACGTCATATGACGTATGACGCATTAGAAGATTGATTCAATTGAAAAGAATATTAATATTGCTCTAGGCGTATCCAAAGTTTAGTATTTTAAGCGTAATCCATTAAAAACATTGTGCCAGCTATAGCTATTCGTCATATTCTTATAAATCACTGTGAATAACATCGACAAAAAATGGCCGCGCCGATCTACAATCCCGTAAGTTTTTACACCATTTCTCTTTGCTACTACGAAAGTTGCCATTATGGGCCTCATTTCGGTGTATTCTCAAGGGCAATTAGAACAATATAATCCTAAAATTTACATTGTAGACTGTGTAAATACAATGTTATGCTACGATGAAAATTATCATTGGCCTTTTAAGGTGACCGAGAAACAGTAGTTGTCGGTGTTATGCGGTTTTCAAGGCCGTTCTTCTTAGAATTAAGTTATAAAATCTTCATATTTCGTATGTATGCACTGGGTTTTCCTCAATGTTATTTTCTACTACGGCTATCTATTAATAGAGTCGATTGCATCTTTGCATATTTGTTCTGATAAGAATGCCATGGAGAATACGTTATAATACCTAACTATTACTATTTATAAGTGTGTCGGAAAATAGCCAACGGCGATGGCTTAGATTTAGAAACCAACATTTCTGAACACTAACCATAGACTTACTTTACTTTTAATTCTATATTTAAAAAAAAAAAGTTGAAAAAAAAAAACTGTCGAGATAGCCGGCGTAGGGTCTTGTGCGTCACGCTTATGTAGGTATTTGTATGAAAAGCATATAGTCATAGTGTATTTTATTAAAATAAGTCAATTTACTATACAAACAAACCTTCAAGAATAGAGTGTACTCCTTCCTAAAAGCCCAGCAATGCGTTTGTGACTCCTGAGTTGCAAGCGTTAATGGGCGACGGCAGTCGCTTTCCATCAGTTGACACGAAGGCTCGTTTGCCTCCTCTTCAATTAAAAAAAAAATTAGTAACCCAAAACCTCCTTTCTTAGGAGAGGCCTATGTCCAGCACTCTACGATTATAGTCTGTTGATGAACATGGTTATGTAAGTCAAATAAAAAAAATCAAAATAAACTCTTTTTGACACTTCCAATTAGACATTACATAGTAGAAAATTCTGATACAATTCACTAGTCACTTGTGTTATCTAAGTTACCTATCTATATTTATCAATTGACATCATTATTTTTTTTAATTGATTTCTATGCCGGCCAGAGGCCTCGCCTCACCGATTTAGTTGTCAGAGCTGATAGCTGTTGTAGCTGATAGCTAAACGGCACCTAGTTTAGGTTAGTAGATACAATACTTTAAACTTTACAGTCCACTTTATAAAATGGTTAATTAGTAATGTTGAAAGACCAGTTGTGAGGGTACAGTCTAATTGACATCATAATAATGCCTGAACTGGCTGTGTAAGAGTTATATGTAAAAGATAATTAAGAAAATATAGTAAATTATCAATATTTTGTGATAGTTTATTATGTAAGCAAAGGTACTCTTGAAGTATGTTACATAGAACATCACATCACATCAACAGGCTATATTAGTCCACTGCTGGACATGGGCCTTTTCTTAGAAAGGAGGTTTTGGTGTACTGTACCACACTGGGTTGGTATAGAGCTTGTGTCAAGTTTTCTTTCTCTCTGCAGTGCTGTTGTTCTGCATAGTATTCTCCCTTAGTCGGCTCGTACGACACCCACGGAATGAATAGGAGTCTTAATCCGTCACCACACGGACTACCACCACATTGAACATTGCACAAAATTCCAATTTGAATTTAGACCTGGTTTTTTTTTAAATAATCTTAGTTGGCAGTCTACTACTACCTAAATCATTATTGTTATTTATTTATTTCTGGTCTCCCTCTTCTGACTAGGCTCAATGCTGAGCTAAGAACCGTGCTTGTCTACTTTTAGCTTCAAGTAATTTAGGTACTTATTTTTAGTTTGTACAGTTAATATACAGGATTAATGGTTAAGTCAACCCAGATACTTTAAGGGGTTGTAGATGCCATCATTGCTGATAGATTTCACAATAAAATAATAAATCCTATATTAAACCATTTTCAAGACTTAAGATTTTCTTTAAATTGCTGAAATTTTGCATAATAGAAGTTATAAAAACAATATACCAATGACACAAAAACAGTAAAAAATCCAAAATAAAAATCCTTTTAGGCAAAATATTTTAAATTAATAATAATAATAAATTAAATATTAGTTTTGAAAAAATAATCACTTAAAAGTCCAATAACTTGAAAATGGTTAGGTTAAGAATATGGTATTTCATAATGAAATGTATCAGAAATGATGGCAACCACAACCCCTTAAAGTATCTACTACGCCAACTTAATCAGTAACCCTGTATATAAATATTAAAGCATGTTTACTTTTGTAGATTACAAGAGTACAAAATAAATATATTTTCTTTCTTCCAAAAACATGTTTTAAATAATGAAACAATAACACCTTTTTGCTTATAAAGAAAAGTTAAAGATGTAGGGCCTAGCTGGTTCTGACTCTAATTTGACCATCACAAGTGGCGTTATTATGGGCAGATCTTTATCACCCATTGAGTAACATTCAAGTATAATTTTGGTCTACTATGTCCACCAGTGATTGCACTGTGTTTCTTTAATCAAGTGGGGAGACCAGATCTCTATAGATAATCCTGGCAAAGCACCATTCACAGTACTGGTATCTTGAATGCTTATTTTATTCAAAATTATCTTTTAATAAAGATAACAACATATCAACAGCTTATAAAAATGCGGGACATAGGCCTCTCATTAGAAAGGAGGTTTTGGCCTACAAACGAACAAACCAAGCTTGCCAGACAGGTTGGTATAGGGTTTGTGTCAAGTTTTCCTTCTCTTTGCAGTGCTGTTGTCCTGCGTAGTGTGGTCCCTTAGTCGCCTCTTACGACACAATAGGGGTGTTGACACTCCGTATTCTTAATCCTTCACCACACGGATTATAACACTTGAATTCAACGTCTCTCAATTCAAATATATTCAACATACCCTAATTTTCCAGAGCATTCAGCGGTGCTAAGACTTTTAGACTTACTGTCTCACGTAAAACCTTCTGAACTATTGTAAACCCAACAATGAAAGAGAACTGGTACTAATTGTAGTTCTGAGTCTGGGTGTTCTTTGTGTCCGTTTCATGTGAGTTAGCATGATATGTTATGCATAGCACAGGAGTTTTATTCAGCAAGACAGAAAGAATATGTTCAAAATGATTTTGTTATTGCCTTATTTGCCCTAGGTCCATAGCACCCGTCTCCCTTGTACCATATAACTGAATTCCCCGTAGCACAGGATGAGATATTTCTCGCGAAGGAGTTTTATTCGGCAAGACAGATAAAATGAGTTGAATATGTTTAGAATGATCTTGTTATTGCCTTATTTGCCCTAGGTCCATAGCACCCATCTCCCTTGTACCATACAACTGGTTCTTTTACTCCGCATGTCATTTCCCCTATTCAGCTTTGGATCACTTAACAGTGTCGTACAAAAATATATTCATATCTGCGCGTTTCATTAAGTAGGTCTTTATTAGACGTGGAAATTACTGCTACTTTATATCATAATCATATGATGAAATGATTGGATTTAGTCACTTATAGATGCCAGCTGTGATTGTGATTTCGTCATAGACAAAGATAAAGGCCGAAAATCATTTATTTTCATCAAAGATTGTTTTGTTTTTAAATTTCGACCTTTTGCGGGTTTGTCGCTAGCGTAATAAATAGGTCACAGTGGTTTAGTAAATTTAGTCACAGGTGTGATTAAATGATTTACAAATCATATGATTTATAACATGTGATTGTGATTTCATTCCATGCCTAGTCTTCAGGGATGCGCTCAGTGTGACGTGCGTTCCACTTGATCAGGAACAACATGTTTAAACCCATGTTCAGCACTAAATAATGTAAACAATAGTGTTTATGATGATGATTAAAAATTGAATTTTATTCATTTATTTATTTCCAATTTAATACACTTATGTACAACGGCGGGCTTAATGCCCAGGGCATTCTCTACCAGCCAACCCTTGGGGGTATAGAAATCTGGTGAGGTAGGTGCACTGAGGTTGCAGTTGCTATAGCAGTTATAACTTACATATACAATTACACACATACATACACACATATGACGACCGGATGGCGTAGTGGTTTGTGTAACGGACTGCTATTCCAAAGGTCGCGGGTTCGATTCCCGCTCAAGTCAAACATTTGTGTGCATGAACATTTGATGTTTGATTTGGTCTGGGTGTTTCTATGTATAATATGTATGTATTTACAAAAAAAGTATACATGTATTTATATCAGTTGTCTAGTACCCATAGTAGAAGCTCTGCTTAGTTTGGGACTAGATGGCGTTGTGTGCTATTAAGTAGGTAATTCCGCCAGCTGATGAATTTATTGCGAGACTTGCTATTTGAATGGATTGTTAAAATCATCATAGAGTCTGAAAATAATAATAATAATTTCAAACATCTCACACACGACAGTCTAAACCCTATGGTAACCAGACTGCTGATAAACATACTTACATATTGCTAAATACATACATATTATACATAAATTACACCCAGATACAGAATAAACGATGGCGCTCATCACACAAATATTTGTCCTGGGTGGGAATCGAACCCACGACCTCCGGTTTAGCAGTCACTTACTGAAATATTTCTAAATACAAAAATATCATCGCAAAATGAGGACCAGACACAAAACAAACTCATAGTTTTTCCCACGATCGGAGGAGGGATCGAACCCACGAGCTCCGGCTTAGCAGTCAGGGTCACCAACTGCTAAAACAACAGGCCAATGCGAATTACACAGATGGGCACAGCTGTTTGCATTGTCTATTAATAGTGCGTTTACGTAACTAAAATTTTTGCTGAGACATGCCGCCTTAGAGGCGCCACGATGGCGCCTTCGATACAGCATGTATCCAGGCGAATTTTATGGGTCTGATGCCATAAAAATGGGCATACGTTATCTACGAGTATGAACCTATAGCTTAAAGCTTATTTCAAACGTTGGGTTTATTTAAGAAACAAAATGATTCTACTGTTAGCGCTGGTGTCATCAATCATCATCATCAACAGCCACCACTAGTCCACTGCTGGACATAGGCCTCTCCTTAGAAAGGAGGGTTTGGCCTACTATACCACGCTGGCCAGACGGGTTGGTATAGGGTTTATTTCAAGTTTTCCCTCTCTTTGTAGTGCTGTTGTCCTGCGTAGTTAGTTTCCTTAGTCGGCTCTTACAACACCCACGGGATGAATAGGGGTGATGACACTCTGTATTCTTAATCCGTCGCCACACAGACGCTGGTGTATGACCCCTCAATCTGTCAACCAAAAAGAGGTATGCCGTATTGAGGCCAATTTTCGACAACTCTCGTTCTTCCCCCGTCTCTCAGTGACCTCTCCCCCCCTCTTAGCCGTAGCTTTAAACCTCTTAGTTCCCCCGTGGTTTTTCTTAACGTGTGGAAACCTCCTGAGGCCGTCACCCCACCGGGGTTTGCGGCGGGGCGGTGTCTGGGAATCGAACCGACTAAAACAAAACGGTGTGCCACTCCGCGCCTGAGATAGGAGGGGTCCGGGAACAGCTGATATAAACACATCCGGACCCCTCCCAGCGCCTGCCCGTAACAGCGCGGGTACCACCTTTTGGTAATGTCTCTATTTGGGCGACGTCCGGCACACGCGGACGTCGCCGCCTCGCGGCTGGCTACTGTAGCGGATGGAGGACAAAACCCGTCTCGTCCACCCGCTGCCATAAAACATCTGTCACTATCGCCCATGGAGCGTATGACAGCCGGACGCGAGAGATCCCCTCCAATGACTGAAATGAGGACCCGACGCTGCGACGCCCTAGCCGTTCAAATTGCCAGTGTAGCTTAGCCTCAGATATAGAAATATTTTGACACTGTAAAGCGCCCTCTATAGTCTGTGTCCACGTCGAAATTTGGCTTCGGTTAGGCATAAGTGTAACAATACGTAAAATCGTTGAATAGTACGAGTAATTAAAGTGTGACGTCATCTATGACGAATTCGATATAATGGTTTCGTATCGATGACCACATCTTCGATTGTGAAAAGAATTCGATGAATAGAACACTAGAAGTGGATAATGTATTATTCTCCACCTCCTCCGGTAACGGATTAAGAATACGGAATGTCACCACCCCTATTTATCCCGTGGGTGTCGTAAGAGCCGACTAAGGGAACAAACTGTGCAGGACAACAGCACTGCAAAGAGAATTAAAATTTGACACAAACCTTAAACCAACCCGTCTGGCTAGCGTGGTATAGCAGGCCAAAACCTCCTTTCTAAGAAGATGCCTATGTCCAGCAGTGGGTATAGGCTGTTGATGATGATGAAGGAATTGTCTATTGGTTGCACACTTATAGTTTAACAGTTATTAAAAACTTTTTCTGTTATTTTTTTGATTTTCTGTTGAAAACTTGTGAATGTTTTCGTAATCGTTTTGCATGTTGATACATTTCTTCATCTAATAATATATTTGTGTACGCTTTAGTCATGCTCTGTGTATAGAAAGTATCCCCGCCAAAAATAACTTCGGAACTATTTAGGCCAAGTAAAGGAGTATTTTTAAGACGGGTATAAAGGAAGAACGTATACTGAAGCAATCAAAATTAGGAGGAAAGGGAGTTGGCTTATAGAAGAACTTTATAATTGACTCCTCTTCGCCGCTTCCTGCTGCGCTGAGTGTTGTAGTTTCATCCTCAACATGGTTTGACACTTCGTCTTCCTCCAAGTTTTTATCCTGAACTAGATCTAGAGATACCACGAGTCTACAGTGAAATTAGTCTCGAGAAATTTTTGCATATGTAGTGGTGTGTATATTACTCAGATCTTAGAGCGCGTTTCCACTATATCGTTCTGGCCTATACAAAAATGTTTCGATATCCTAACATTACTATTTAATTTTATACTTATCCCTAGCAACACTCTGATTTTTGTTTTCGATAAAAACAAGTTTTTATATTAAAGAAAAAGGTTTTGACTTTAAAAAAAAAAAGGTGTGTGTGCGATTCACACACGATAGAAGTGAAACTTCAAAGAGGAGAGACCGATATTTCAATTTTTTTATTTTTTTTCCTTTCATCTAGGTTTTTAAAACTCCGGGGCGTCTACGGGGGGGGTCAAAATTTTTGTTATTTTTGGCCTAGGACGCACCGTTTCCGAGATATTTCAATCTAAAGCAAAAAATCGTCACTTGATAGTGGAAAGTGGAAACACGCACAAAACCAGAATAAACCAGTTTACGCTGTCCGCAGGTGCCACTACTACAAACGCAAAAATTTCTCCAAGCTAATTTACCTGTACTTAAGTTCCATTTTTTTACGCACGCGACCATAACCCAGGTAGGCGATATCGAAGTTCTGAAAAAAGACTGTTGTTGAACTTTTTTAGGGTTCCAACTACTCGTAACGACTGATACAGACAACAGGACACTTCGTGTGATCCACATATTGTCGTTCTGAGTCTGGGTTTTCTTAGTGTCCATTTCATGAATTTTGGTTATGTCCCTCGCGACACAGGATATATTCCTAGTGCGGGAGTTGTCTTTTAAATAATACCGCACGTCTTGGATGGCAAAAGGGAACAAGACTGCAGTTAACAGTTCGAGGAGACCAGTAGTATGGTACCTTTGACAAAATTGTAACTTTGGAGTGGCCACTTTTACAAACTAGAGGCGAATTAACAATTGTTTTAGAACTTTTACTAAAGCCTGACGCATTCAAAAGCTTGAAATTCAAACGTGTTTCCTCAAAGGCCGGCAACGCGCTATGACTCCTGAGTTGCAGGCGTTCATGGGCGCTTTTAGTCGCTTTCCATCAGGGGATCCGTCTGCTCCCTTTCGTAAAACAAAAATGGGAACGCAGGCTATTGATAAACCGGTGTTAAGTAATTATTTCGTTGTATCTCACCGAGTGGGTATGGTTCAAACCCTGTCTCCCCTTGATTTTGACTGAGGGGAGGACTCCGAGGGTGCAGCGCACTCGTGAATCTTCAAGACGCAGGTATCCACTGGTTCTTTGTCATCGGCAGTTACTTGGCATCTAGTGCAAATAAATTAATTATTGAAAAATATTTTTGCAGGAAAAAAAAAGTTTCCTTATTCAGTATGTGTTTTTATTTGTGGGTGAATACGATGGGAAACTGGTAATTGGGAAACACGCCATTACGCATCTTGAATTACCATATGTAATGTATTACGTAATGTTATGTGATAAAGATACTTAGTACCAACTGACGCGACAGGCGTCGACCTATCCGAATTGAATAGATAGAATACTAGCTGACCCGGCAAACGTTGTTTTTCATATACTTTATTTCAATTTAGGGGTGGGATACATAATGAAGACGTGTTAGGACGAGTCAGCATATGTGTTCCGGACAGATACGTGTGGCGGCGCCGCCGGCCGCCGCTGCTAGCTGTCCCGTGCGGTCGCACCAACCTGCAGAGAGAAGCATATAATTGTACTCTGAATATAATTGCGGATGAAATAGATTTATTTTATTGCTCACTGAGTGAATTCACAATAACAGCATTAAGAATTATTTCTTATAATAAATAAGTAGATGGTATAACACTATTGCATTGGGCTAAACCTGTAATAATAGTTGTTTTTAAAGGAAAAAAAAAATAGGTGTATGAAAAATAGATGTTGGCTGATTCTCAGACTTACCCGATATGCACACAAAATTTCACGAAAATCGGTCCACCCGTTTCGGAGGAGTTCAACCACGCACACCGTGAAACGAGAATTTTATATATTAGACTAGCCCGAGACTTCAAACAAATGATCGTGTTCTTGACACAATTATTTGTTCTGGGTGGGATTCGAACCCACGGCCTCTGGCTTAGCAGTCAAGATCAGTACCATTAAACTAACGGGCCCGTACACATGTTACTGTAAAATTACTGAAATAAATACAGCTATTGTTTTTCTTTTTCAGGTCGTACCATGCGTCCACCCCATCCCCGGTGGCTTGTACCCTGGCCGCATGATCAGGGTTCAAGGAAACACACCACCTGGAGCTCAGAGGTAATTCTCTTCACAAAACAAATGCTATTAAAGTAATCGTTATATCCACTTTGTGCAGATAAAACCTTATTAATGGAGAGGTAATAAAACAGACCAAAACGTGATTGAGGAACAGGGTAAGAATGATGACCAGGGCCTCAATTCTGCTATTTTATCTTCACGCCAAGCCACTGTCATGCCACTGGCACGCTATTGAGATGCCATCGAGTGGCCATTGGCATATAAATATCGGTAGTCTACACTAACTCAGTGTGTTTACAGTGGCGATGGAATGGCAGAGGCTCATCAGTGGTGATATCAAAAATATTGCCATATTTGGCAAAATAAATAAATCATTTCCTTATAATTTGAAAATATATTACGATTTTTTGAGGAAATGTAGACTACCGATATTTATACGGATGCCAATGGCCACTCGACGGCATCTGAATAGCGTGTCAGTAGTATGACAGTGGCTTGGCGTGAACATAAAATAGCAGAATTTGGGCCTAGGGTGATTACGTTTACGTTTATGGCTATGATCGTGATTATAATTGTGATTATGCTGCACGAATGGTGCAGTAGTCAAGGGGTCGCCTCGGCACTTCCTACTACGCTGATCGTTGTGGGTTCGATCCCACACGGGACCACACTTTGTATGATCCATAAATGATTGTTCTTAGTCTGGGTGTTCTTTGTGTCCATTTCATGTATGTTTGTAAAGTCCCCCGCGACACAGGATATTTTCCTAGTTCGGGAGTTGCCTTTAAAAAAAGATACCAAAATCACTATACCCTGCTTCCACCTAAGCTTCAAAAAAGCCTACCCGATTTGTTTTTTGTATTATATTACTGTACTATTTAATATCTTATCATCCCTTCCAGATTCGCCATCAACTTCCAGTGCGGTCCCAACACCGACCCTCGTGACGATATCGCACTCCATCTCAACTTCCGTTTCGTTGAGATGTGTGTCGTCAGAAACCACCTTACAGCCATGAGCTGGGGGGTTGAAGACACCAACGGTGGCATGCCCTTGAATAGAGGGGAGTCCTTCGAGGCCCTGATTCTGTGTGAGCCCCACGCTATTAAGGTTAGTAAGGTTGCGGTCATGTCCAGTCCCACCCCACTCTTAGTTATAGCATTTTAACCAGCTGAATTTCCTCCTTTTTCCATTAAAATATATCACACACAAATATGTCTCTCTCTCTCTCTCTCTCTCTCTCTCTCTCTCTCTCTCTCTCTCTCTCTCTCTCACACACACACACACACACACACACACACACACACACACACACACACACACACACACACACACACACACACACACACACACACACACACACACACACACACACACGCACACACACACACACGCTACATGCGTATGATTCATCCACCTTTTCCCAAACTGCCTTTAAGTCTACTCCAATACGGCTGTACCAACTTCGATTTTTAACGGGGAGCGACTCCCATTATACCTCCATAACCCAAGTACTAGGTGATATCGAAATCCTGTAATCTGCTGTTGTGGGACTTTTTTAGCCACAGATTTGCGTATGGCGTATCATCAATCATCGTCATCAACAGCCTTTAATGGTCCACTGCTGGACATAAGCCTCTCCTTAGGTTTTGGCCTACTATACCACGCTGGCCAGACGGGTTGGTATAGGGTTTGTGTCAAGTTTTCCTTCTCTCTGCAGTGTTGTTGTTCTGCGTAGTTTTTTCCCTTAGTTGACTCTTACAACACCCACGGGATGAATAGGGGTGGTGACAATCTGTATTCTTAATCCGTCACCACACGGAGTATGGCGTATGATTATAGTAATTAATTTCAACTTAATTCATAACTGATGACAAATCCGCCTGGTCGAAACTCATGAAACCTCGAGTAAATTACTAGGAATATATTCTGTTCTTCGTAGATTCGCACCTACTTTTATAGTGACTAGTAACCTGCCTTAGACCTGTCTACCTCAACGTGTCTGCCACACATGTGCGTCTGATCTCAAACTAGACAGACCCTGTAACAAGACTTCTTGGGGTCCGGTTGTCTTAATAACAGCAATTCCTGGATCCTTCCTATTACAGGCGCATACACACCGTGTGGTTTTAGTCAGTCCGATTCCGACACACCACCACGCCACAAACCACGGTGGCGTGACGGCCCGAGGGGGTTTTTACAGACTGTTCAAACTCAAACTTTCTATATTTCATAAAATTTCCAAAATTGTTTTAAATCGTCTTCCATGTACACTCTAAAGTCATAGTTCAACACACACAAAACATAGTCATAGTTTTTTTTTTAGGATCTTTGTGTTGTTATTTAATCGAAACTTAAACCAATTATTTTGTAATAATAATGGAGCTTAAGTTTATTATGTGAATTCTTTAGTCTGTTAACATACTCATATAAACTTTGTAATAGAACGTTGTGTATAGTTATAACTGGACTTCAGATTTAAGTATTGTATATTGTCAACATAATTGTGTATGTGCTAATCTGTTACTGTACCTATTAGATAAAATAAAATGATAAAACACACACCAAAGCAACAATCTCTGTTTTGTCAAACAGTAAGCAAATAAATTTAACAAAAATCAAACCCATACAATACAAAATCCATGATACGCCTGTGCCGATCTACAACCGCCAGTTTCCAAGGGGTTGAGCCTTATGAGAAGAAGGGCAAACAAACTCATGGCCACTCTTTTGCAATTCACAGATAGATACAATGGCACTATTAAATATACCACAACATTGTTTTGATGTGTGCTAGTATGTCCGTTATTAAGGAAGGTTGTTGATAAACATCATTATATATTACTAAATACGTGTACATATTTAGTAACTAGCTGACCCTCGCAACTTCGTCTGCGTCTCTCAATAGTAATAAATTTTCTCCGTTTTTGAAACATTCTTCATTGGTGCTCCGCTCCTATTGGTCTTAGCGTGATGATATATAACCTATAGCCTTCCTCGATAAATGGGCTATCTAACACTGAAAGAATTTTTCAAATCGGACCAGTAGTTCCTGAGATTAGCGCGTTCAAACAAACAAACAAACAAACTCTTCAGCTTTATAATATTAGTATAGATAGTATAGATATAAGCAGCATACAGCAGCTAAGCTTTATTGAAAGTTTGCGTTCATGTTGCCTTAGCAGTATTAACATGACTGCACGGATGGCGTAGTTGTTTAAGCGGTCGCCACGCCGCTTACTACTACGCTTAGGGCTGTGCGTCCGATCCTCACATGGGACTACACTTTGTGTGATCCACAAATTGTTGTTCTGAGTCTTTGTGTTCTTTGTGTCCGTTTCATGTATGTTAGTAAAGTCCCCCGCGAAGGATACACTTATTCCTAAGGCGGGCGTTGTCTTCGTTGAAAAAAAATCTATCAGTATCAGCAGTATCGAGAGTAGTTAAGGGAGAGGAGTAGTTGAGTTGCAGGTGTCTACATTTGCATTTATACCAGAAGAATATAAGAGAGAGAAGAATATAAAAAGAATTCCTTCTATTTCAGGTGGCATTGAACGGCCTCCACTTCTGCGAGTTCCCTCACCGCGTGCCTTTCCAGAGAATCTCCCATCTCACCGTCGACGGTGATGTCCTGATCCAGTTCATCGGATTCGAAGGTGCTGCGCCCCCACCGTCCCAGATGTATATGGTGAGTATATCGAGAATATACCGTATACCAACCCGTCTGACCAGCGTGGTATAGTAGGCCAAAACCTCCTTTTTGAGGAGAGGCTTATTTCCAGCAGTGGACTATTAAAAGCTGTTGATGATGATGATGGAAATGATCTATATGAGTAAATTAATACTAGTTGACCAGGGCAACATCGTATGCGTCTATCAAAAGGAATTTACCCCATTTTTATAACATTTTTAATTGATTAACTCTTATTGGTTGTAATATAATGTTATATAGGCTTCCTTCAAAAATAGGCTATCCAAAGAATTTTCCAATGCAATGCAATTTTGACTGCACGGATGGCGTAGTGGTTTAAGCGGTCGCCACGCCTTACTACTACGCAGAGTGTTTTGGGTCCCATCCCCACATGGGACGACACTTTGTGATCCAGAAATTGTTATTCTGAGTCTGGATGTTCTTTGTGTCCGTTTCATGTATGATTGTAAAGTCCCCCGCTAATGCGGGAGTTGTCTTTATTAAAAAAAAGAAAGATATGCAAAATAGTACCTAGTTCTTGAGATTAGCGCGTTCAAACAATCAAACTTTTCAGCTTTTTAATATTAGCATAGATGTGACAGTCTTTTTTTAAATAGAAAAATTGTCGTTTTGCAGTCCGAGCCTCCCGCATACGGTGCGTACGGAGCCCCACCCACATACGGAGCCCCTGGCTACGGGGCCCCTCAAGGTAAGATTATATATCTATTAAGAGTATAATAGTCATAGCCGATTGGCTTTAGGGCCTAAAGCTACCCCTTGTCATGGAGTGAAATGTCCTGCCGTGAGTGTCAGATCACTACGACTGGCCTGTCGGTCTATTGGTTATAGTTAAACCGCCGTAAGCTTGGCCCTCCTGATGGTTTGGAGGACGCGGGGCGGGGGTGCATTCAACCAATTAGCTAGTGCGTCGCTGTCCGCCGACAGTGACTGACGTGAAAGCATGGCTGTACGTGTTATTTTTCTTGAAACTGCTACACACGGTATTATTTTGCAACATGGATAAATCTGCCGACTCTGCGTCACAAAAAGATTTAAAGACTTGAAGTTTGACTTACAGAGGTTCCACTGTTAAAGTTCTAATAAAGAATATTTATTAATTTACTTAATTTTTAAATTGTATCTGAATATAATTTACATGATGAAGATAAGGTGATTTTATTAAAATTATTTTACAGTATTAAATTTTACAATTAATCATAAAAACTTACAATACACTGACATTATAATACATGGAAATAAATTCGATTTTTATTACATCGTGTGTAGATTAAATCTCAAACATATAAATCTGAAGATATCGAGTTAGTACATCGTGTCATGTATAGCGGAGCGCATCACCCGCCCCGCGTCCCGCAAACCATCAGGAGGGCCAAGCTTACGGCGGTTTAACTATAGTATGCTGAATGCTAAGCCAGAAGTCGTAGGTTCGATTCCCATCCAAGACAAAAAATAGTGTGATTAGCACCATCATTTGTTCTGTGTATGCATGTTATGTATCTATACTATGTATATATTTAGAAATATATAGGTATGTTTATCAGCAGTCTGGTTACTGTCCATTATGGACCTTGAGTTTCTTTATGCTATTGGTGTTGATACCAAGCCACTGGTACACCCACAACTAACTGTCAGTATGACATCAGTCGCGACAGGACGCTTCACTCCTTGACAGAGGACCCCTGTCGGGTTGGGAAATACACACCTGAATAAATATATAATATATAATAGTTAAACCAGTAACAATAGTTTTTACTCCTAAAGAGGTAAATGACTATTAAGTGAAATCAGTATCTTGGTGATAAACGTCAAAATTGTATGAAATACCAAAGAAATGACGTCACACCTTACTATTTTCCAAACATGCACTTTTAATGTTGACTTGACAATAACAAAATATGCCAATTTTTGCAGTAGTTTATTATTAATTTATTTTGAACGTAAGAATCTACTTAGTTGTGATATATTTCAGGATTGGGGAAAAGGGGGGGGGGGGGGTGCTCTACCTTTGAGTCTCTTGAGTAGCATTCCACTTACCTATGGAGGGTAGACGTAAGGAGAACCATCTCTGTGTATGAAAAGTGTCCAATAAGGGTGGCGCTGCGGTACCCTGGGATAAATTGATATTGGATTAAATAATAATTAGACACTGTGTACCAGACTGCGAAAATACTCAACGAGTTTTACAGACAATAAATAAACTCGTAATAACTTTCAGACAATTTTTTTTTTTTTTTTTTTTAAAGACAACGCCCGCATTAGGAATAAATCCTGTGTCGCGGGGGACCTTACAAACATACATGAAACGGACACAAAGAACACCCAGACTCAGAACAACAATTTGTGGATCACACAAAGTGTCGTCCCATGTGGGGTTTGAACCCACAACACTCGGCGTAGTAGGAAGCGGCGTGGCGACCGCTTAAACCACTACGCCATCCGTGCAGTCATTTTAAAGGATTATAATATTTGAACTCAGCACACTTCACTCCGTATACAACAGCTATGTTCATACCTTAGTTTTTCGTACGCCAGCGACCTCTATTTTCAGTATACAGCTTGGTACTTTTCAACTTTCCCCCCATATGAGATGGTTCTTCTTGCCTCTACACTCCATAGACTTACCATGAGGTGACCTGACTGCTCGCCCCCTCCCAAACCATAGTAAAACGTGAATGTCTATTGACATTTTAATTATTTCTATTAATTTTTAGGATGTTTTATTAGTTTTAGTAATTGAAAGTAACATAATAACATTGTGTGTGTGGAAATATTACAAAGTATGCTTTTATAAAAGATACAAAATATTAATTGTATTTAGGTATTAAAAGTTGTCGTGGGGTCCATGCTTTGTTAGAGCCGACTCCACCGGAGCCATACCAGGGCCTCACAAAACCATTGTTAAACTATTTTTTTTGTTTTGGAGAGTATGGTAACCGTAACCTAATAAACTGCTCTTTCCAATAATCAAACTTCACTTGTAAATATTAATATTTTAAAACCTCTGCCTACCTATTCAGGTATACTAGCGTGAATAAATGTATCATCAACAGATTTTAATAGTACACTGCTGGATCTAGGCCTTTACTTAGAAAGGAGGTTTTGGCTTACTATACCACGCTGGCCAGACGGTTTGGTATAGGGTTTGTTTGAAGTTTTCCTTTTTTTTTGCAGTGCTTTTGTCCTGCGTAGTTTGCTCCCTTAGTCGGCTCTTACGACACCCACGGGATGAATTGGGGTAGTGACATTCCGTATTCTTAATCCGTCACCACACGGACTAAATATAAATGTATATAAAAGCATTATTTTGTTATATTTACTTAATAAAGTATATAAGCATGGTGTAATTAGCATGTATATATTTTTTTAAGTGTTTTTATTGTAGTTTTAAGGGCGGTTTTGAGGCTTTTTAATATAGAAAGGTTATCTGCGGTGTTATTTTCTTTTTTATTAACATTTTGGGAGATGATTTTGTAGATATTTAGAATAGGCTTATGATTAACAAATCTTTTCGTAGGTATTTTAATGCTTTGTAGTTATATTTTTATCGGGGTTCAAGGATTTTAGCACAATTTTTGCCGTATCTAGGTTTATTGTGAATGCTAAATAATGATACAAAAAGAAATCAAGTTGTTTTATAAAATCTGTATATTTTTTCCCTTCATAATTATAGATTAGACTAGCTTGTGCCCTCAGTGGGTGCGTTCCCGGACCGGGCAAAGTTTTATAGGGGTTTTCTGAGAGGAAAAATAGCCTAAGTTACTCTTTATATAGACAATTACTTGGTGGTAACATATTATCAAAATCGGTTCTGCCGTTTTGAAGTTTACCCGGAACAAACAAACAGACAAAAATAATTCGAACGGGTTTTTAGGCATAAATATCGTGCAAATAACCGTGTGCGCACGAAGAAAGCTATTATTTTGACATTACAAACAGACACTTCAATTTTATTTATTTGTATAGATTTAATAATTTTCAACTAACAACATTTCTTACTGATATTTCACTCAATTTTTCACATTTCTTTACATTTTTAGGGTTCCGTACCCCGAAAGGTAAAAAAGGAACCCTTGTAATTTTAACTACTTGTTTCGCAAAACTAGAATGAATCCATATATTCGATATATAAATTTAGAGATGTACCGACTAGCTGGCCAATTAGTCGGTTGTAAAAAGCTCGACTAATAAGCCAGCTAGTCGGCCAAGCCGATAACTGGCTGCTAAACCAGAGATCGCGATTTATTGTGTGATAAACACAATCATTTGGTCTATGTCTGGGTGTAATTTATCTATAATATGTATGTATTTAGAAATATATAAGTATGTTTATCAGCAGTCTGGTTACCATAATACAGGCTCTGTCTAGTTTGGGATCAGACGGCCGTGTGTTTATAATGTTTTCTTTGAATAAACTTAAATAAAAGCATTGAATTACAGTAGACAATGGCTCTCAACTGTTTTTTTTACACACAAGGGTAATTGTGCTATTGACCCCATTTATCTACCGTCGTTATCCTAAGCTTGTAAGACATTGCTTTAAGGAACGAACAGACAGACAAAAAATATTTAAACTGGTTTTTAAGCGTAGGTATCGTGCAAATAACCGTGTGAGCACGAAGAAAGCTATTATTTTGTCATTACAAACAGACACTTCAATTTCCGTCCGTCCGTGTGGTGACGGTTTAAGAATACAAATTGTCACCACCCCAATTCATTCCGTGGGTGTCGTAAGAGCCGACAAAGGGAGCAAACTAAGCAGGACAACAGCACTGCAAAGAGAAGGAAAACTTGAAACAAACCCTATACCAACCCGTCTGGCCAGCGTGGTCTAGTAGGCCAAAACCTCCTTTCTAAGGAGAGGCCTATGTCCAGCAGTGGACTAGTATAGGCTGTTGAAGTGATGATGTGACTTCAATTTTATTTATTTGTATAGAGTATAACACTAGTGTGTATGTCAGTAATCACGTTAAAAAGCCTATAATACTCGCTGGTAATGTAGCTTTCCATTGATAAAATAATTTTTAAAATCGGTTTTGTGGTGAAAGCGTAACAATCAAATTTATTTACGCTTTTACAATATAAGTATCATCTAGACGCGATGAACTTCGTTTCACCTACAATCTTTGTATCAATAACTAAATAAGTCCTCCTTTCTAAGGAGTAGCCTATGTCCAGCAGTGGACTATTAAAGGCTGTTGATGTGATGATAACTAAATATTTAACAACTAACAAATACCTATACATGTGTCGACCCTTATGACTGACAAAATCTTTTGCTTTTTAAACCTAAACATGCGTTAATCTGAATATTATTATATAGCTAAATTACAACCAGACACTGATCAAATGATCAAATGATCAAAGGATTAAACTCTGACTCCGCAGTCAGGATCTCTAGCACCTTTTTTTTCCGTGCGGAAATCCCCTCGGATACCACCTATCAGTGGCATGTCGGACTCGAACCGACTAAAACCGCACGCCGTCTCGGGTACTAATAGCCGGGGTACTAGGTATATCCTAGAAAGGAAGTCCCTGGTGCCCCGACAAGTCCCTGGTGCCCCGACAGGATCTCTAGCACCCAAACTGACAGACTGATCGATATATGTCAAATTATTATTTAACTGGCCTATCTTTTAATAAATCTCAATCCAATTTTTCACATCTCTCATTTCTTGTTTAAACAAATCT